CTGCTCCATGGGAGAAGGATGGGCAGTCTCGTCCTGTGTGATTAACTGCCTCTGGAAACCTGCCGGAGGGTCAGCTATGGGTCAGTTGTAACTCGAGATACAGTACACAACAACATGACATCGTATAGCCCCTTGACTTTCTTCTTTCCCCCTCCCTCTTTTTCCTTCTCTTCCATTCTTCCTCTGTCTTTCACTTATTCATTCAACAAACATGCTTTATTAAGTGTGGCTACTAAGTAGAAGGTCTGAGGTTTGAGTACACCCAGAAGTGCCCTAGAAGAAAGACACAGCAGTCTCCCTCAGGAACCCCAGCCACTGAAAAGAGTGTGGAGCACAGCTCTATGCTGACACCCATGGGATCGCATGGAGTTGGAATCAACTCAGCAGCAACAGTTGGTTTGGCTTGGGTTTTTTTTTTTTTTAAATGTACTAAACACATAGTTGACACTAAGTACACCACCTTGCCTTCAAGCATCCTTGTCTTCAGGAGGCTTCTAATATAATTAAAGCTTCTAATATAAATGAAGCCAGACCATAAATGATACATCTAGAATATCAGTAAATGATATTTTGGTTTAGAGTGATAATTGCAGGTGAAAGGGGTCAAGAAATGCCAGGGGAGAAGAGTGACCAGGATGGGCCTCTTTGCAAAAGATGGCACTTGAACAAAGACTTGAAGGAGATGAGGACCTCTGTAGGTATCTGGGGAGCAGTGTTTACCTTGAGACGAAGGCACCAAGGTGGGACTGTGCCTGGAGGTTTTCAGTCAGCAAGGAACCAATGAGGGGAACAGTACTGGGAGAGTCATGGGGGCCTAGCGGCTGGGGCCTAGCAGCTATGGCAAGGGTTTTGCCCTTTCATCTGAGATAGGAATGGGGTGGCACTTGAGGGATGTGGGCAGGACTGGGTATGGTTTACAGTATTCAAAGGATCTCTCTGGCTATGTGGAAGACTATTGCAAAGTAAGGTGAAAGCAGAGAGCCACTTAAGCAAATAAGAGGTTCAAAGTATCTTGCCCCAGGATCACACAGCTCAATGGTGCTGGAATCAAAGCTGGAACCCAGATTTAAGGCCAGAGTCTCTGCATTTCTCCCTGGTGGCCACGACTCCATGCTGCTGACCACCCAGGCTCAGGTTCTGACAGAGGGTGGGATGAGTACAGGATGTAACCCATAGCCCTCCCCTCTGTCCATGAATCCAGGAGATCCTCTCCCCTTGGGAATCAGTGGCAGGCCTGGATGTAGCTGTGGGACCCAGCTCTGGGCACCAAGGGAGCCTGGGCATGCTGGGGCCATGGCTGTGGTGACAGGTTGCTAAGCGACCCTGAGAGGGAGGAAGCCCTGGTTACTGCTGCCTGGCAGACACCTCACCCTCCTCTGTCTTTCTCACCTCCTTCGTGGCCTCTGGCTTCCCAGGAGGCCTTTCAGGCAAGCTAGAGTTAGATTCTGCATTTGCCACCACATCTTGGCCCAGAGCTTTGATTGGTACCAGGTGGCTGGGCACTGAGGAGCCAGACTGGCGACAAGGCCCACTTTCCCTCATGGGGCGCGGCCTCGTGCTCACACACCTGGTGCAAAACCTTGCTCAGGAGGTAGAGGCTCAGCTCTGACCCAACAACCTGAGTGACCTGGGCAAGACCTGCACCTCTCTAGCCTTCGATGGCCCTCTCCATAGATCTGTCTCCAAGGGCTTCAGTGTCAGTGAAGAGTGGGATTGGGACGTAGGATGCTGAATGGTCAGGGGCTTTGTACCCTCCCCTATGGCTTCTCTGGCCTGTCTTACATGTTCAAGTTCTGAATTAGAAATCTACAAAGAGTTCCACTTCTTTAATAGAAAAATTAAACCCCTGTGTTTAATGATTCCAACAATTTTAATGTGAAACTGAAAAGATCCCCAGAGTACAGACAACTGGCCCTTCACACCTTGGTGGAGTTTGGTGGAAGAGGGGCTTGAGGCATTCCTGCTCTGCCACCAGGTACTGGACAGTCCTTCTACCTGGGTCAGCGCAACCACAGTTCCAGGCTGGGGCTGGAGGTCCAGGCACAGAGGATAGACAGCAAGGACGCCAAGCTTCCCAGGCTGGGTACATGTGTTCTAGGTGGTAATCGAAAACATTATTTTTCTATTGAGAACATTTGGACATATTATGAAGTACAGTTCAGAACTCCCTTGAAGAAATTTCAGCTTTGCAACAACTGCTTGTGATCATGCCCCAATGTTTCCCATGCTGCCAGCCTTTTGGGATAGTTTACATGGAAAGTTTACGACTCTTCATGAGATTCTTTGGAAATTCTGGGACTCATTTCCCTCTCCCTTGGTGGCATGGTGCACTACGTGCTAAGCTGCTAACCAAAAGGTTGGCAGTTTGAATCCATCAGCTGCTCTGTGTCAGAAAGATGGGCGTTTCTTCCTGTTAAGATTTATAGTCTCAAAAACCAGAATTGACTTGATGGCAGTGGGCTTGTTTTTAGCAGAATGTGGTAAATTTTTCACTCTGAGTAAGGTCATGCCTGAAATCAGTATCTGGCTCTGCCACTTTAGAGAGCTGTGTGACCTTGGCAACTTAACCTCTCTGAGTCTGACTCTCTTTGTCTTGACATGGAGACTACAATCTCTGCCTTGGTAGGGCTTTCAGGTAATGATTACATGAGATAAAGTATTAGCATATCCAAGATCATATAGACAGATTCTGAGTAGCTTCTAGTACCAGCTAAGGTCCTCCCACTCTCTCCCAGCACTAGGAAACTGGCTGGCACTGGGCAACCCAGATAAAGAGGTGCTGCCTAACTGACCTCCAGCTGGGAAGTGGTGAGGTGGGGATGGTGCCGCCAGTAAACCAGACAGTCTCTTGGGGGAGGAAAACTCCTGAGGTCTCTAAGGCTCTGAACACAGGTGTGAGGGAGGGGCCGGGAGGCAGGTGCAGGGGCAGGAGTGGGGCTGGGGGACTTACTTGAGGGAATAGCACCCCCTTGGGGTTCAGCTCCCCTCCTCTCAGATTCCCAGGAGATGCATGCAGGGCAATGCTGGGAAGGATCCTGGAGGCCCAGGTGTAGTTCCCCAAGGCCAAAGAGTGAAAGAGACAGGGACCCGTTAGCATTACATCTGTACCTGGAGCTGGGGGTACCCTGGGCAGCAGGTCAGGACTTTCTCTTCCGGGATGTTGGTGGGAGGGTGGCAGGAGAGGAATCCTGCCCAGAGCAGTGGTTACAAGTGTGGCAGGTTGGATTAAGGAGTTAAGAGCAGGTCCATGAGCTTGGCAGAATTGGGAGTGTTACCTGGCTCTGCTGCCTACCAGCTGTGGGACCGCAGACAAGTTACATCACCCCTTTGGGCCTTTGTTCCCAGTTAAATGAGATGAGGGTAATGCCAGCTTCCCAGCGCTGTTGGCACCCAGCAGTTCTATTCAGTGCATGGCATGAGCCTGATGGAGATGGTTAGGTGAGCTAAGGAGGTGAAGCTTTCTGGACAGAATACAGTGATTTGCCTGTGTCTGTGAGCACCTGGTCTGCCCACCAAACACTTCCACAGACAGTAATTGTCTCTTTTCATCATCTGACCCCCTCATGAGTGATTTTGCAACATATCTCCATCTCCCCCCCCCAAAGCAGTTCACTGAACTCCAAAGAGATTGGGTAAAGAGCCCGTGATCACACACTTAAGACAGCTGAGTCGTCACGCAGCAGCTCAGCCCTTCAGTGCTTCCACAGCACAGACTGAGCTGGATGGTGACGCCACCAGGTGGGAGGCCCAGCAGAAGTCCACTCCAAGCCCAGAGGGAAGCCAGATCCTTGGAGACAACTCCCCTGCCTGCCTTTGCCCTTAGGGCAAGCCTGAACAAGTAGGTAGTGACAGGGGAGCTCTGGAGACTGGCACAGCTGAAATAGAGGTTATGGCAGAGCCTGGCAAAGGGGGAGCCCAGAACAGCACTGTGTGGTCTTGGGCAAAACTTGACCTCTCTTGAGCCTCGATTTTCTTGTTTGTAAATGGGGTTGCTGCTACATATTTGTGAGGATTTTGTAAAGGTTCCACCAGCTAAAGGAAAGGGGTTTGAGGCAAGAGCTACACTGGCATCTGGGACTGCTGGAGGGCCGGCCAGGCTGGAGAGCTGGGCTGGCTGGAAGGCTGGCACTGGACAGAGAGGTGGTGAGGTGTGAAGTCTTCAAGGGCAAAAGAAGTCTTTTGAGGGGCTTGATGGGATCCAACCCATGTGTAGGGTCCACTGAAGCTCTCAGGAAGGTAGGAGTAATTTCCTAGTTGTCTAGGCCCTGTACCCACATTGGCTGACCATCAGCCTACCTTGTTCTCTCTGGCCAGGCCCTCCCAGCAAAGGGTTAACAGTCTTGTCTACCTGCAGTTGCATTTTAAAGACACAAAATTAAAGCAGGTAATTTATTCTCCCCACACACGAAAGAGCAATTAGTTCTAAACAGGGCTTAATCAGTCACCGCGAGATTGATTTCTGGAGCCCTGGGTTTTCGGGCTCCTGGCGCCATGCCAGGCTGGGGAGGGAGGGGGGCGGACAAATGAGCCGCGGCAGCGGAGGCAAGAGCCCTTACATAATCTGCTGGGGGGCTCTGGCAGCCTGGCCAGCCTAGGCGGGCTTCGGAGAGGAGGGGAAAGAGGCTCCCCACTTCCTTACTGTTGGTCCAGACAGGCGCAGAGTGCCCCCTCTCCCTCTCTCACACACACCTCCCTCAAGGCCTCAAGGGACTCGCTTATAAGGATATTGCCTTACTTTTTGTGGAGTGTCTATGTGTAGGGGGAAGGTCTGGGGAAGAAGAGGGGTTTTCTGGGTGTGTCCAACCAGGTTCCTAACTTGTCCTCTTTCTCTGCCCCACCCCTTGGCCCCATTCTTCCTATCACCTCCCCTTTCCCCTTCTTGCTTTTCTCCATTCTTTTCTCTTCTTACTCTCCCCCCTTTCATTACTTCTTCCTCTTCTCTCACTTCCCCCACGGCCTCCCCTTATCCCACTCCACCCCATCCTTGTCTCTGGCCACAGAACTCCATCAGGCACAACCTGTCGCTCCACACCCGTTTCATCCGCGTGCAGAATGAGGGCACAGGCAAGAGCTCCTGGTGGATGCTGAACCCCGAGGGCGGCAAGACAGGCAAGACCCCGCGACGCAGGGCTGTGTCCATGGACAACGGCACCAAGTTCCTGCGCATCAAGGGCAAAGCGAGCAAGAAGAAGCAGCTGCAGGCACCAGAGCGGAGCCCCGACGACAGCCCCCCAGGTGCACCAGTCCCTGGGCCCATGCCCGCAGCCAAGTGGGCTGCCAGTCCTGCCTCGCACGCCAGCGACGATTACGAGGCGTGGGCCGACTTCCGCAGTGGCGGGCGACCCCTGCTTGGAGAAGCAGCCGAGCTGGAGGACGATGATGCCCTAGAGGCCCTGGCACCTTCGTCGCCACTTATGTACCCAAGCCCTGCGAGCGCACTGTCGCCCGCGCTGGGTGCACGTTGCCCGGGGGAGCTGCCCCGCCTGGCGGAGCTGGGAGGTCCGCTGGGCCTGCACGGTGGTGCGGGGCTGCCAGAGGCCCTGATGGACGGCGCGCAGGACGCGTATGGGCCACGGGCCCGCACCCAGGCGCCAGCCTACTACAGCGGCTGCAAGGGCGCGGCCTATGGCGGGGGCGGGGGCGGGGGCTTCGGGCCTCCAGCGCTGGGTGCGCTGCGCCGCTTACCCATGCAGACCATCCAGGAGAACAAGCAGGCCAGCTTCGCGCCCGCCACGGCGCCCTTCCGCGCGGGGGCGCTACCCGCGCTGCCGCCGCC